CCCCGTTTTGAGGTGCAGGCGGGAGAGGAGAGTGGGCCTCGCAGAGCACGGCAGCCCTGCACCCGGAGGAGGGGAAGGGGCGCCGGGCGTGGGGGGCCTCATGCATCTCCTGGCCCCTCACCCCGCTGTAACCCCTGCTCGGCTCCCTCACGCAGCTGGTGACCAGGGCGAGGACACGGCCTTCGACCTCTTCAGCATCAGCAACATCAACCGGAAGACTATCGGAGCCAAGCAGTTCCGGGGCCCTGACCCCCGCACGCCCGCCTACCGCTTCCTGCGCTTCGACTACATCCCGCCGGTGGGCGCCGAGTTCCTGGGCCGCATCGCCCGGCTCATGCGGCAGAGGGAGGGCTTCTTCCTCACGGCCAGCCTGAAACAGGACCGCAAGTCCCGGGGCACCCTGCTGGCCCTTGAGGGCCCCGGTGCCACCCGCAGGCAGTTTGAGCTCGTCTCCAACGGCCCGGCCGACACGCTGGACCTGACCTACTGGGTGGATGGCACCCAGCATGTGCTGTCCCTGGAGGACGTGGGCCTGGCCGACGCCCAGTGGAAGAACGTCACGGTGCAGGTGACCGGCGAGACCTTCAGCCTGTACGTGGGCTGTGACCTCATCGACAGCTTCATGCTGGAGGAGCCCTTCTACGAGCAGCTGAAAACGGAGAAGAGCAAGATGTACGTGGCCAAAGGCTCTGTCCGGGAGAGTCACTTCAGGGTACGTGGGACAGGGCCACGCGACGTGGGGAGGGCTCCCCGGGCAGCCGACCGGGCCTGTGTTGCAGTAGATCAGGCACATGCACACGCACACGCACACACACTTGTACACGTGCACACAGCTCACAGTCAGTGTGTGGACATGCACACACATGTACAGCCACTTATACACACACGTCATACATGTGCTCATGAACGCCCACATGTACACGTGCACACAGTCACACATGGGCACCACACCCATGCACACATTCACATGATGTATGGTGATACACGTGTGTTCACAGGCACCTCATGCACACGCACAAATACCACGCACATATGCATGTGTGCTCAGACACCTCTCATGTTCACACACAAACACTGTACAAATATGCACGTGTTCACACAGACATCTCTTATGCACACACCCATGTACACACACACACACACACAGCACCAGAAATCAGCAGAGCCAGTTGTCGCAGGGACACTTTTTACCTGCACGATAGTCACTGATGTTCCGACGAAGGGTGATGGGTGAACAGGGAGTCAGCCCAGTCACACGTTCCCAGTAACCCAGACTAACGTTGTGATGCTGAACCCACTCCCACATCCGCTTCTCAGGTCATGTGAGAACAAGGAACACGTTACCTTTCTAAGGAAAGGAACCTGGCAGTTCCATGTGCACCTTCGTTACAGAATCTCCCGGAAGAGGGTTGTTAAAACCATGGTGCAGGGCTAGCACTGTGTTCCCTTCCACGTGTCTGTGTGTTCTTCGGAGATAACTGAGCGATGCAGCTCGGTTACATGAGTAAAATGGTTCGGTCAGGTGCCTGGCTTGTTCCGGAGTTACTCTGGTGGCCGGGGTTAGGGGTTAGGGTTAGGGGTTAGGGTTAGGGGTTAGGGTTAGGGGTTGGTTAGGGCTAGGGCTAGGGTTAGGGGTTAGGGTTAGGGTTAGGGCTAGGGTTAGGGGTTAGGGTTAGGGGTTAGGGTTAGCATTAGGGTTAGGGTTAGCGTTAGGGTTAGGGTTAGGGTTAGGGGTTAGGGTTAGCGTTAGGGTTAGGGTTAGCGTTAGGGTTAGGGTTAGGGGTTAGGGTTAGGGGTTAGGGGTTAGGGTTAGGGCTAGGGGTTAGGGTTAGAGTTAGGGCTAGGGCTAGGGTTAGGGGTTAGGGTTAGTGTTGGGGTTAGGGTTAGCATTAGGGTTAGGGTTAGCGTTAGGGTTAGGGGTTAGGGTTAGGGTTAGGGTTAGGGTTAGCGTTAGGGTTAGGGTTAGGGGTTAGGGTTAGTGTTGGGGTTAGGGTTAGCATTAGGGTTAGGGTTAGCATTAGGGTTAGGGTTAGCGTTAGGGTTAGGGTTAGCATTAGGGTTAGGGTTAGCGTTAGGGTTAAGAAGCTCCATAGCATATAGGTGACTTGTCTCCCCTGTGATGAGCGGCTTCTCACTTGTGTGGGAGACACTTTCATCTCATTGTGTCTGTGGCGGGGCCAGCAGATGTTCTCAAGACCTTTAGCCAAATGCAATAATCATCCGAGTCCCCTGCAAGGAGAGAGTAGCCTTGAACACCCATCAGAACATCCTCAGGTGACAGAGCTACCTGTTCCCCGGGGCCACCCTCGCTCCCCTCTGTGGACGCTCCCACTCTCTGTGTCATGCCTGAAACAGTTCGAGAAGCGACACACAGGGTGGCCCTTCTACAGACTCCAACCTGCTGAGTGCGGGCACTTAGAGAAAACACCCCAAGTTATTATCACCTCGAGTGTTTTCCTCTCATCCACCGAACATGGCGTCACGTGTGGCGTTTGCCCATCGCTGTTTCTCCCCGTGTGTGCTCACAGGGTCTGCTGCAGAATGTCTACTTGGTGTTTGAAAACTCCGTGGAAGACGTTCTCAGCAGGAAAGGCTGTCAGCAAGGCCAGGGAGGTAGGTGTGTCCTGAGCCATGTATTTCCCGTCTCATTTCCTGTCTCAGGTGGATTTCTGCTCTGGGGGGTGTGTGACTGTGAGTAGCGAGAATTAAAATTAAAACATTTGGATGGAGTGCCACCTGGCAGAATGATGCTGTGAATGCCCAGGAGAAGGGGGGTCTCGGGGAAGGGCAAGGACATCTGACTGCTTGATGCACAGCAAGCTGAAGAATAAAAGGTGCTTTGGGTGGGAAATTAGACAGATGAGGAGCTGAGGGTTGTTGGGACGTTTGGAGAATGTGGGATTGAAAATCAGAACGTCCCCCGGGGGGAACGGGTATGAGGTCCCAGTGCCTCACAGGGCCCAGGCCATCTGCACGCTTCTGCTCCACCCGTGGGTGGTTCCAGGGCTGAGTCAGAGCTGGTCAGGAGTAGGACCGTCCTGCTAAACCCATGGGCCTCCATGGCGGGGACGTGTGCAGGAAGCCCACCCGGCACCCACATGCAGGGCTGGCGGGCTGCACCCCACGGTGGCTCTGATGGGGCCCCCATCATGTCCCCGCAGCGGAAGCCAATGCCATCAGCGAGAACACGGAGACGCTGCACCTGAGCCCTGCGGTCACTTCCGCGTACGTGGGCCAGAACGCAGGGGAGAGGCCAGGCGTGTGCGAGCGCTCCTGCGAGGAGCTGGGCAGCATGGTCAGCGAGCTGTCGGGGCTGCGCCTGGTCGTCAACCAGCTGCACGAGAACCTCAGGAAAGTGGTGGGTGCCGGGGCGCACAGACCCCACCTGCGTCCGCAGCAGAGGGCCCCTGAGCCTGTCCTCACTCTGTCCAGGATGGGTGGTCCTTTGGAGGCCGAGGGAGTGGGCACGGCGAGACGGAGGCCCCTTCTGGCTCCTTCCACACGAGCATGGGCGGCAGGAACAGGCAGAGGCCGCCGGGCTGGCACGTGTGGGCAGGTGCTCGTGGTGCGCGGAGCGCCGTGGCGAAGTGACGTGGCTGAGGCTTGGCGCCGGCGAAAAGCCTGTGAGGGCTCGCGGGACTCGCGCACCCTCTCCCTCGTGGGCTGCGGGTCCGCGCGGGCTCCCGCTCTGGGGGTCAGAGCTGCAGTGGGGGGACACCCTTCCTTCGGGAGCCTGGCCCTGATTGCTGCCTGCTCCTGTCTGTCCTCACACCCTGCCCCGATTTCCAGTCGAGCGACAACCAGTACCTCTGGGAGCTCATCGGCGGCCCCCCGAAGACGAGGAACATGTCTGCGTGCTGGCAGGACGGCCGGTTCTTCGCAGAAAATGAAACCTGGGTGGTGGACAGCTGCACCAAGTGCACCTGCAAGGTGAGGCCTCGGCAGTGTCCCTGCCCCAGCGGCACAAGCGCTCCCAGCACGTGGCCATAGCCTGGACGTGGGTGGACCTTGGCTGACCGGGGGGCGCAGGGCAGCCGAGAGTGAGAACCACGGAGCAGAGCTGACTGCAAACCAGGCCTCAACCAGCCTCACTGCTCTGCACATAAAGAGACCGAGGCTGAGGGGGCGACCTGTCCAGTGCTACAGGCGGCAGGGATGGAGCCGCCAGGTGCCCTTTAGCTTGTGCTGAGGTCCAGTCGGCCCTGCGAGGGCCACAGAGCTCAGCAGGGACGTCCGGGGACGGCCTGTCGCTGCCCAGAGCCTAGCTGGTGGGTCGCTGAGGTTCTCCAAGTCTCATGTCACTCCACCTCCACGGAGGGTGATCTCGGACCTCACAGCATGAGCTGACCCTGCCGTCCTGTCCGCCACCTGCCCCAGCGGGACACTCTCCGTTGTCACTGCTGGGGGGGGCAGGCAGGGGACACAGACGGCCAGTGCTGGGCACCCAGGGCAGAGTGAGCTGAGCCCCTGGAGTCGGGTGTAGGGCCTGTGGGGTGAAGATCACTGGACATTCCAGGGACCCTTCAACGCAGCCTGGTCCTGAGCTGACTTTCCAGCGAGTGTTACACGAATGCCTTTCTTTACTTGTAGAAATTTAAAACTGTTTGCCACCAAATCTCCTGCCCGCCAGTGACCTGCGCCAACCCGTCACTGCTGGAGGGAGACTGCTGTCCATCCTGCTTCCACTGTGAGTGTGGCCGTGGCCCCAGCGTGGGTCCTGTGGGTGTCACTCTTGTCTGCTCAGAGGGGTGAGGGCCAAGCTGCACAGTCCCAGGGGCACTTCACCCGGCTGTTCATTTCACGGCTCAGTGACCAGCAAGCATCTGCAAGCCCTTGAGTTAGGGACCAAGGGCTTCTGTCCTGGCCGGTCCCCCTCGATGAGGAGCCCGAGCCCCAGTGACCACCGGACACAGAGAACCCCGACGTTGGCTCCAAGCGAGTACCCACCCAAGAGGCAGACACAACCTGGAGCTCCGGGTGTGTTACCACGATGAGTGGTCCTGGCAGACACACCCTGACTCCGACCCGGGGCCTGACCTGGGCTACCCAGTGTTTGCCCCAGAGCATCTTCCTCTCGGAGGTTCACACCGTGTCCAGGGCACAGGTCCCACCGCGGGCATGACCCCGTCCCTCCTGACCCATCGTCACTGGGCGGAGTCTTGAAGGCCTGTGTTTCCCTCCCAGCGGCAGATGGCGAGGAGGGCTGGTCCCCATGGGCGGAGTGGACCCAGTGCTCTGCCACCTGTGGGCCAGGCACCCAGCAGAGGGGACGGTCTTGCGACGTCACCAGCAACACCTGCCTGGGGCCGTCCATCCAGACGCGGGCCTGCAGCCTGGGCAAGTGTGACAACCGCAGTGAGTGTCAGCCACTGGGCCCCGTGTGATGGGTCAGCATCCCTGGCCCTGGGATTGGGTTTTGGGGGACAGCCACTCACTGTCCTCTTTGGGGGGCACCTAGCCTTGTCCACAGGCCCTGCTGGTCCCCCCCCTCCAGCCTGAGTGACAGGCGACTCCAGGGCCGGGGAGAGGGGGGCCTGTGCTGATGTCTCCTGCCTCCCATGTGCTAGTCCGGCAGGACGGTGGCTGGAGCCACTGGTCACCGTGGTCCTCCTGTTCTGTGACCTGTGGGGTCGGCAACATCACTCGGATACGTCTCTGTAACTCGCCGGTGCCCCAGATGGGGGGCAAGGCCTGCAAAGGCAGTGGCCGGGAGACGAAAGGCTGCCAGGGAGTCCCGTGCCCAGGTGAGAGGGCAGGGTGGGTGGGGTGGCCTGTGGGGCAGCGGGCCCGGGGCCCAGGAGCGTGACGGATGAAAGGTGCCGGGTCCCCTTGGTGGCTGGCCCGGGTGTCCCGCAGCCCCAGCCCCAGTTCTCAGCCTCCACGCACGGGGCCGTGAATTTTCTTCCCAGAGGTAAAAATTCACCACCTGAGGCTCCCTCCCCTCCATCACCCTCCGGCCTCTGGCCAGGAGGGGGCTTCTTCCCGCCTTTCCTGCCACGGTGGGGACCCCGCCTCACCGGGCCACCCTCCTGACCGCCACGTGGGTCACCCGCCTGCCCTGCCCCTCTCTCCCGCAGTCGACGGCCGGTGGAGCCCCTGGTCACCCTGGTCTGCCTGCACCGTCACCTGCGCCGGCGGCATCCGGGAACGGACGCGCGTGTGCAACAGCCCCGAGCCCCAGCACGGAGGGGAGCCCTGCAGGGGGGATGTCAGGGAGCAGCAGATGTGCAACAGGAGGAGCTGCCCCGCAGGTGGGCGCCGGTGGGGCGCGGGGCTCGGCCCCCCAGCCAGGGTCTTTGAAGTCACTGCTGGGCTTTTGTTCTGATTAAAGGGAGGAAATATATGGGAAACGCAGAGAAAAACCGACTGTGGGCACCTGGAGGCACCTGCTCTTAACATCTGTGTTTGGTTCCCCTGATTTTTGTGTAAAAGCAGAAACACAGTCGGGATGGGTTGTGCACAGCAAATAGCGAGTGACTCACACGTGAGCCCCCAGCTTCTCGGCCCAGCCGTGCGCTCTGGGCTGCGGGACATCCGCCATCTGTGCTGTGATCCTGTGCTTGTCACCAGCACGGCGCCCGTGGGGGCCCCTGGGGCACAGTGAGTGTCCTGGCGGCTGACGCCCCTCGGCCCACGGCCCTGACCCCTCTGCTCCCCGCAGACGGCTGCCTGTCCAACCCCTGCTTCCCGGGAGCCCAGTGCAACAGCTTCCCCGATGGCTCCTGGTCCTGTGGCTCCTGCCCCGTGGGCTTCCTGGGCAACGGGACCCACTGCGAGGATCTGGACGAGGTGGGTGCCGGACCGGGCAGGGCAGGGGGGCGCGTGCAGAAAGCGGGTGCTCGGGCTCACACCGCTTGTCCCCGCAGTGCGCCCTGGTCCCCGATGTCTGCTTCTCCACGACCAGCAAGTCCCAGCGCTGCGTCAACACGGACCCCGGGTTCCACTGCCTGCCCTGCCCCCCTAGGTACAAGGGGACCCAGCCCTTCGGGGTCGGCCTGAAGGCGGCGGAGACAGAAAAGCAAGTGAGCAGTGGGCCCTTTATGTGATTCTCAGGTGTCCAAACAGCAGGAATCCGGGGAATTGGAGGGTGGGAGAAAGGAAGGCGGCATTCTGGGGAGAGGGCAGGATGGACCTGCTCCCACGGGGCCAGGGCTCTGGGACCCACCATCTACCGTGACCGCTGACCAGTGGGGACCCAGGGGGACCAGGTCCCGGTTTTTCACGAAGCTGCTTCCAGGCCCCTCCTGAAGGAGCGGAGTCCCGCGTGTCTGTCCGGCCAGGGCCGGCCCAGGTCTCTGNGGCATTCTGGGGAGAGGGCAGGATGGACCTGCTCCCACGGGGCCAGGGCTCTGGGACCCACCATCTACCGTGACCGCTGACCAGTGGGGACCCAGGGGGACCAGGTCCCGGTTTTTCACGAAGCTGCTTCCAGGCCCCTCCTGAAGGAGCGGAGTCCCGCGCGTCTGTCCGGCCAGGGCCGGCCCAGGTCTCTGCGTTCTCACCGGCACCCTCCCCCCAGGTGTGTGAGCCCGAGAACCCCTGCAAGGAGCAGACCCACCGCTGCCACCGGTATGCCGAGTGCATCTACCTGGGGCACTTCAGCGACCCCATGTACAAGTGTGAGTGCCAGACGGGCTACGCGGGTGACGGGCTCATCTGCGGGGAGGACTCCGACTTGGACGGCTGGCCCAACAAGAACCTGGTCTGCGCCACCAATGCCACCTACCACTGCGTCAAGGTGAGGGCGCCGCTGGCCCCGCGACGGGGCCGCCTCAGGGTCCCTCACAGGAGCGTCACTTTCCTGGGGCAGCTGGAAAGAGTGACAGGGACAGGGCTGCTGTGTTCACCACCTCACAGTCTGACGGGAGTCTGAGATCAGGCGTCTGTCTGTCGGCAGGGAC